GTTGTTTATAATTGGGGCAATCAAAATTAGTGGATGCTTGACTATCTTGGTCTTAATTTCTCTGTGCCTCCATCCACCATTTTACTGATGGGGGGGGAAAAAGACTACCACTTCATCTTATAGGAGTATTGTGAAGATAAATTCATTAGCGTGAAGTACTCATACTATGGTGATCGAAACCACAGAAAAATGTGAGAAAATTAATAATTTTGTATTCCAGGTAGTGATGGATGATGTACAGTAAATAAAGCAGGGGGCCACACATTGGATGCTGAAGTTAAAAATAGTGAATAGTTGTTCATTTAGTGAGCACTATCCATCCTGTGCACTCAATCAGGCAGAGGTCGTGTGGGAAAAGTAGTATGTGATCTAGTAATTAAACACTGTACTATAATATAGGTAACCTGACAGGTCCCTGTGTTCTGGGGCAGTTTGCACAGTGATAGCAAAGTTACACAATGTATTTTTAGATTAATATTTGCCAATTCTTTCCCTTGAATGTGCATTGTTGCACAAGGACTTCCTGAGACCAAATACACTGTGATTTGCTTAAGGATCTCTGTGGCATGTTAATACTGGAAAATATAGGAATAAATAGTTTTTGCTAAGGATCTTATCAATCCAGGAATATTGAAACAAAATTATCTTTTATTAGTTGTTGCTGTCTTTGTGATCTGGTTTCAATAGTCTTGATTCTGCCACCTGGATATTTCAGTGATGGGCTTAATATTAGAAATATTTAAGGGAGAGAGTTTCACAGACACTAGCTCTGTACTGGACATAGTTTCAGTTCAGTCGAAGAAATGGAATTCTACTGTTTTGCTCATGGTATTAAGCAGATTATGGTGTGTGTTTGACCTAGAACCTATAAGTCTGATCAGTCCTACTTCCTGCAGTGCACTGACCACCTGTAGGTTCACGCCCTAGCTGAGGCCAAGGTAGAACTTTTTGAGTTCCAAAGGGGAATCGATTGATAAAGAATTATAGGATAGGAATAATAGTTAATGCTAGTCAATCTGGTTTTACGGAAAATAGGTCTTGTCAAACAAACCTGATTTCATTGCTTGAGATTACAAGTTTGGTTGATAAAAGTAACTGCCTAAATTTAATGTACTTAGGTTTGTGTAAAGCATTTTACATAGTACTGCACAACATTCTGATTAAAAGATTAGCACTGTACAATATTGATAAAGCATATGTTAAATGGATTAAGAACTGGCTAAGTGACAGATTTCAAAGTAGTCTTTTATGGCAAATCACCACAGAGTCGAGGTGGTTTCTAGTGGGGTTCCACAGGGATCAGTACTAGGTCTAATGGTATTTAACATTTACATCAATGTTATTAATATATCATTCAAGTAAATATAAAATCACTTGTCATAGGGTGGCACTAGCCCCTTAAGATGGAAGAGGCCAGTGTACCTGTGATTGGTGAGCTGACTCCCAGTTGGGCTTGAAAGTGGACACCAGGGCCCTCTAGGGAGGAAATTGTCAGGTGAGAGCTGTACAAGACCAGAAGAAAGAGAACCTGAGATGACTCAGAGAGAGACAGGAAGCATCAGGGAAGAGCTGGCAGAAGTTGCTTGGGAGAGAGCTGAGTTTGGAAGGAGAGCAGTAACTGTGAGCTGTTGGTGAGGAGCTTGGAGGAAAGCCATTGGTGAGAACTGATCAAAGCTGGGGACCCCCGATGAGCAGAAGGATTGGGCAGTGGCCCCTATGAAAGGGGAAGATCAGTGTGGTCGGGGACGATGAGCCTGGAAGCAAGAGGAGTGTTGAGGGAGAATGGGGTAGGACTCCATAGCAGGGAGAGACTGGAACACTGTGGGAAAATTGGTCATTCTGTCAGGGAGGCCTGACAAGCTGGGCCTGGATCGGGGCAAAATGAACTGGGAAGAAAGTGTTGTTTTGACTCTTGATTTGGTGACTTGAAGATGATGTCCTTGGAGAGGGGAATGGAAAAAGCCAACTCTGGCTCTATTTATTGTGGAAATTGAAAAACGGTTTTATTACAAGATTTTGGGGGAATTACTGCCTTGGTGTGTATGAATAAATTACACCTAGAGGCAGGCTTTGTATCAAACTTTGAGAGATTTATGTTCCTTTCTTGGGCAAACAAAAGGGGAAACTGAGACAGGCACACTTGTGTCACAGCTTGCCACTGGAGGATGCCTCAGCTGGGGGTCACCCTATCCCACATTACTGATTAAAATTTGAGGATGACAAAAAGATTGGTGGAGTGGTAAACCACATTGAGGACAGGACAGTCATAAAAAGCAATCTGGAACACTTGATAAGCTGGGCCCATTCAAACAGAATACATTTTAATACAGCCAAATGCAAGTATACATCTAGAAACAAGAACTGCAGGTTGTGATGGGATGCCTGGGGTACAACCTGGAACTGGGATACTGCTGTGCTCCCTTAACTCTCCAGCCTGGGCTGTCTCTCACAATGCTTTGCTAGTGACAAGCAGCAAACCCCTCCAGGCACCGTCATCACTCAGTACAACAGCATATGGAGCCCCACACCCAGCTAGATTGCATGAATGCTCCCTGAGCCACTCACAAATCACACAGAGAAAGGCACAAGCAAATCTCCCAAGCCCCCAGCCTTGGACTCCTGGAATACACCCTCTTGCCCTAGTCAGACGCCTGGCCAATGTAAGTTTATTACCCAGTCCTCTCCTCCCTCGATGGGGAGAGGACATATGCTAGCCTTTGTAAATTGAGCTGAGATTTCCAAAGCACTTCATCCAAAACACACTGTTTTAGGTAAAATATAAAACAAATTTATAAACTACAGAAAGATAGAATTTAAATGATTATAAGTGTTAGGCACAAAAGGTCAGTGATAGTTACCAAAGAAAATAAAAGTTAAGCATACAGTCTAAATCTTAAACCTTATTATACTAGGCAGTATTTGGATCAAGCAATTTTTCTCACCCTACTGGATGTTGTAGCTAAGTGACAGTTCTTAATACACAGGCTTCCCCTTTAAGCCTGGGACCAGTCTACACAGTTCAAGTCTTTGTCTTCCCAGCGTTCTTGTTGCTTCCCGGGTAGGTGGAGGAGGAGAAAGGCAAAAGCATGATGCCACTGTCCCTTATTTTATATCCTCAGTCCATGTGCTTGGAAAACATTAGCCCAGACACGTCCTGGTGGGTTTTGCTGAGTCACAGGGTTGAGCAATCTCCCATTGTGTGGTGCTTCTCTTACAGAATTGTAAATTCCTTGTTTACAACTCCGCTGCTGATTACGAGATTAGAAAAAAAGAAATAGTATTTTTAATTGCCCTACTTGTATGAGGTGAATCTCTTTATTATGAAAGTGCAACTTAGAAACGTAGATTTATTTTTTCACATAACTGCACTCAAAAACAAAATGATGTAAAACTTTAGAGCTTACAAGTCTACTCAGTCCTACTTCTTGTTCAGCCATTCGGTAAGACAAACAAGTTTGTTTACATCTATGGGAGATAATGCTGCTCGCTTCTTATTTACAATGTCACCTAAAAGTGAAAATAGGTATTCGCATGGGACTGTTGTAGCCAATGTTGCAAGGTATTTACATGCCAGATATGCTAAATATTCATATGCCCTTTATCTTTTTTACAGTGCAAATATTTGTAATAAAAAATATAATCTACAAGTGAAAGCATAAAGTGAGCACTCTACACTTTTTATTGTGTGGTGTAATTGAAATTGATATATTTTGAAAATATAGAAAAACCATCCAAAAATATGTATAATAAATTTAAATTGGTATTCTATTATTATTTAACAGTGTTATTAAAACTGTGATTAATCATGATTAATTTTTTTAATCTTGCAATTAATCAAGATTAATCTTTTTGATCATTTGACAGCCCTAATGATAATTATATGACGGGATGAATATGGGGGTTCCCGGATGCTGCTTTGAGGTACAGTGTGCCTCACAGGTCCATTCCTATAGAATGAGGTATTGTATCCCAGAAACCAGTGACCCTCAAAAGGATCTAGGGATCATAGTGGGCAAGCAACTCCACATGAGCTTCCAGAGTGATGCTGTCTCAGAAAGGCTAATGCTATCCATACATGTGTCACCTGAGGATTTGAGCACTACAGCCTCATGGCATGCAACAATACAGTGAGGAAGAACCACTCTAGAACCCTGCTCAAAGGCACCAGGGCACCAAGTTCATCTGTTGCTGGGGGTCAAATCAGGGAGTTTAGTTGGTGGTACACTATATATTGAAGTCGTGACAAAAAAACACTTGGACTCCATTGTAAAACTGGGAAATTCCCAGAAAGAAGGATACATGGCCACTCAATTACAAGTAATTTTTTTTAGTAATACACTTCCAAAGTTGTTAATGTATACTTTTTGCCTTTCCCTTAAATGTAAGCAAATATGAGAGTTAATTACACCAGTCTTCATCAGAGACAATTAAGCAGTATAGGTTTTTTCCATCATCTAAAAAAACAGCAACAAAAAACTTTAGTCTGTTCAATTAACAGGGTACTATCAATGTTGTTTAGCCTCAAAAATAAGTTACATTTAAAAATTGATCCATATTGTAGGTCTCCGATTCAGGATTTTAGCAATATTTTTTTAATATGTCTTTGCAGAAGTATTGGTAGGAAAAAACTTCCTTCACACTCAGTCAACTTACTGGGTATTCCTGTATAAAGAGAAGTAGGCATATGCTAGCTACAGGAAGAGAACATAGCTTCTCTTATCGGTCAGATATAATAATCTTAATGGAGAGTGACTATTTAAGGTACATTGGAAAAGCAGAATCACAAATTGCTTTTTTTCATGCCTGTGTATCTATTGGAGTTATGGATACAGATTGCCTTTGTTCTTTTAATTCCCAGGCATAGCCCCAAAACTCAAAATTCTTTAATGTTAATGAAAAAATAGCTATGTGGGCTATAATCAGAAACTAATCAGTTAAATAGTTGTATTTTAAAAGTGTATATGAAACAGACCATAACTATCTTTATTTTTGTTTTTCAGATAAATCCAAATCATGGAGGGGCTCTTGCATTACATAAACCCAGCACATGCCATTTCTCTCTTAAGTGCTTTGAATGAGGAACGTCTAAAAGGACAGCTATGCGATGTTATTCTTATAGTGGGAGACCAAAAATTTAGAGCTCATAAAAATGTTCTGGCTGCCAGCAGTGAATACTTCCAGACTCTCTTCACAAATAAAGAGAATGAGTCCCAATCAGTGTTTCAACTTGACTTCTGTGAACCAGATGCTTTTGAGAATGTATTAAACTACATTTACTCTTCGTCTTTGTTTGTTGAGAAAAGCAGTCTTGCGGCTGTTCAAGAATTGGGCTACAGCCTTGGAATTTCCTTTCTTACCAACATTGTTTCTAAGAGTCCTCAAGCTCCTTTTCCAGCATGTCCCATTAAAAAAATACTGTTTCAAGAAGAAGATGAAAGCGGTTCTCAGAAGAGAAGTGTCATTGTTTGTCAGAGCAGAAATGAAGCACAAGTTAAAAATGTCAGTCAAACACATGATTTAAGCCATAGCTCTAAGCCTTCACACTCCATTGCCATCAAAACAAACAATAGGCCACAAGTAACAAAACCAATTGAACCACTTCACAGTTTATCATTAAGTGACAGGAGGTGGCTAAAAGACAGTCCTGTGAGCTACACTAAACTTCATGAACCTTCTGGAACTGTGGATGACCAAAGTAGAAGTGGCTTGGTGAAGAGGAATGCAGTATTGCCACAAAAGCCTTTAGCTGAGAAAGAAACTTCATGTGATGAGCCAGGAGTGAGTGGTCAGCTTCTAAGAGGAAAAGCTGCAGAGATGTCATTAAAAAGACCACGTCCTCCAATCTTATCTCTGCATGGTTCATCAGAATCTACATTTTTGTTGCGAGAGACAGGAAAAGGAAATGGTCAAGGAGAAGATAGGAATTTGCTATACTACTCAAAATTAGGACTAGTGGTTCCATCTAGTGGATCTGGTCCTGAAAACCAAAGTATTGACCGGAGTGGCCCACTTGTAAAAAGTCTCCTTCGAAGGTCATTGTCCATGGATAGTCAGGTTCCTATTTATTCATCTTCTATTGATTTAAAAGCTTCACATGGATCATCATTGGTGACTAGTGACTCACAGGGAAAAACATTTAATGTTACATCTCAAAAGTCATCCTTGAAAGAGTCTTCAGAAAAGGCTGTCCTAGATGACAAGACACAGGTAATACACCCACACCGCCTTAGGTCCTTTAGTGCCTCTCAGTCAACTGATAGGGAGGTAGCTTCTCCTCTAACTGATGTACGAATAAAAACTGAACCTAGCAGCCCACTTTCAGAGCCTTCTGAAATAATAAGAGTTACAGTAGGAGATGCTTCAACATCTGCCAGTAAAGACTTCCCTTTTAAAACTGAGGATGATAATAGGGATATGAGTAGACTTCCAGCAAAAAGGAGGTTTCAAGCAGATAGAAGGCTACCATTTAAAAAACTGAAAGTGAATGAGCATGGTTCTCCTGGGTCAGAGGATAATTTTGAGGAAAGTTCAAGTCCTACGCGTCTTGATGCTGATTTTCCAGATTCTGATGTCAGTAAAGATGAATACAGTGAATTGGAAGAAGTGAGACCAAACAAAAAGTTTAAATGCAAGCACTGCCTTAAGATTTTCAGATCTACAGCAGGCCTTCATCGTCATGTTAATATGTATCATAATCCAGAGAAACCATATGCTTGTGATATATGCCACAAGAGATTTCATACAAACTTCAAAGTATGGACTCATTGCCAGACACAGCATGGAATTGTGAAGAACCCCTCACCTGCTTCCAGTTCACATGCTGTCTTGGATGAAAAATTCCAAAGAAAATTAATTGATATTGTGAGAGAGAGAGAGATTAAGAAAGCACTGATTGTTAAACTACGACGTGGCAAACAAGGTTTTCAGGGACAGTCCACTTCACAAGCACAGCAAGTCATCAAAAGGAACTTAAGATCAAGATCCAAAGGAGCCTACATTTGTACCTACTGTGGGAAAGCTTATCGTTTTCTCTCCCAATTTAAACAGCACATAAAAATGCATCCAGGGGAAAAACCAATTGGAGGAAATAAGGTTTCTAAGCAAAAAGAGCACATTCATATTGCAAGTCCAGTTGAAAACAAAGAGGTCTATCAGTGCCGTCTTTGTAATGCCAAGCTCTCCTCTCTTATTGAACAGGGAAATCATGAGCGACTTTGTAGAAATGCAACAGTCTGTCCTTATTGCAGCCTTAGATTTTCTTCTCCAGAGCTGAAGCATGAACATGAAAGCAAGTGTGAATATAAGAAGCTCACTTGTCTTGAATGTATGCGCACTTTTAAATCCTCCTTTAGTATTTGGCGTCATCAAGTTGAAGTTCACAATCAAAATACCATGGCCCCAACAGAGAATTTTTCTTTACCTATTCTTGATCACAATGGTGAAATAACGAATGCGTCAAGATTACATTCTCAATCAGAATCTAATAAAATGAACAATTTTGTTACTGCAAAGGAAGATGGAGTATTCAGTGATTCTTCAGAACAAATTAATTTTGATTCTGAAGATTCTTCATGCCTCCCTGAAGATCTAAGTGTTTCCAAACAGTTTAAAATTCACGTCAAAGAAGAGCCTGCAGACGATATAGAGGATGAGGTCACTGAAACCAACAGAGAAGCTAAGGAAGTAGTTTCTAATAAAGTCACTGGCTTGTGGCCCTGTGAAAAATGTGGAAAAATTTTTACTGTACACAAGCAGTTGGAGCGTCACCAGGAGCTTTTGTGCTCTGTAAAACCATTTATTTGTCATGTGTGCAACAAGGCCTTCCGGACCAACTTCCGTCTGTGGAGCCACTTCCAGTCTCATATGTCACAGGCTGCAGAGGAATCAGTGAATAAAGATGCTGAGATATGTCCACCAGCTAACTCCCCATCACCGCCACCTCTGCCTCCACCCCCACCTCTACCCAAAATCCAGCCCTTAGAGCCTGATAGTCCGACAGGTTTATCTGAGAGCCCAACTACTACTGAGAAATTATTTGTTCCACAAGAATCGGACACGCTCTTTTATCATGCTCCACCACTTTCAGCAATCACGTTCAAAAGACAATATATGTGTAAACTTTGTCACAGGACATTCAAGACTGCATTTAGTCTTTGGAGCCATGAACAGACACACAATTAGCTAGAGATCTTCAACAGGTAGTTTAAAAAGCTGGTTAAATGGAGACCATTTCCAGGATATTTCAGAAGTATGCCATATAAACTAGAAATCTAAGGGGACAAGAAACATCAAAAAAGTAAAGATGGATTTATGATGCTGCTTGGATTTGAAGATTAAGGTAAACTAACTTTGATGTTAGTAGATAGAAATTTGAATAATTTAAAGTACTGTTGTCTGGGATCTTATAGTAACAGTATAATTTAATTTCATTAACATTGAAATCCAATCACATCTTGATTGTATGCATGGATCCTCATCCTGTGGTGTCAATATATATAAATATACATTAAAAACAAAAAAGGAACAACAATGTGGATTCTAACTGTGAGTTTATAGTAGTGTTATACTGTAACCAACTTCTTGTTTTGAGTATAATGAACACCTGAGCTCCCTATAAATATTAGCCCTGCACTTGAAGTTAAGAAAGAAGTGGATGGAATATTTTTCTTTAGTAATCTAGATTTTTAGTAATATTTTAGCAATAACAAATAAACCTCAAGTTTGAGTTACCCTGACACTTATTGGGAATGAATGTTTGGTATTTTATGGTAATGTGGAATTGTTTTGTTCTTATATGGAACTTGTGCAAAATACAATAGAATCTAAGATGAGCAATATTAATACTTGGATTTTATATTTAAAGTAGCAGCAAGCCTGCTTTCAGCCATTTAAATAGAAGTTTCTAAGGAAGACTCTGGAAAAAAAAGTATGCTGCTTTATATAACGCCCCAAAGGCTAATTTACTGTAGGTATTTCAGTAACTACAAGCATTGTAATAAAGCAGCACTTATAATACAAACAGTACTGTTTATGCATATGAACTAACATTGAATGGATGTCAAACAATTCACAATTTTGTTTCCTCTGGTTTGTACTGTTGTGTGTAATTCTGAGTACAATAGAATGTATGAATATATTACTTTCAATGGCAGAAGAGGAGGAAGGGGTTGTGAAATAAACTCCTGTGTGTGGCAGTAAATGTGGCCATTAGCACAAAGATATGTTTTTTAAAAAATGTAAATATTTACATAGACACCTGTATAAATGAACAAAATATGTATTTAAATTTTGTATTAAACAAACCTATCCAGTTCAAAGCAGAGGAAAAAGCACCACACTACAATCATTGGATTTTGTAAATACAGTGTATAGAATATTTGTTTCTTTTCTGACACTTTCTATTGTTTGTGATCCTTTGTGTTAGAAGTGTTTATTTGGGTTTGTTTAAAATCATGGTGGTAATGATTAAAAATAGTCACAGTTGGAATGGTTGGCATCATTAGTATCAGATATTTGCCAGAAGCTATGGCACGGGTCCAGAGTTAGTTTTTCACCTGCTTTTGACAATGTGCTTCTCTTGTTTAGAAGCTCAGAGTTAAAACCATCTTTCTGCTGTTGGTATTTTAAATTTAATTGAGTGGAATGGATTAGAATAAACAGTGAGAATGCAAATGAATTAAATACTTGACAGTCCATTTTGGATTCAGGCCAACTTCAGATGGGAAAAGAAAAGAGAAAGTATTGCATTCAGTCCTGTGTAATTAGGGCCCAGTCCTGCTTTCACTGAAGTCAACGGGAGTTTTGTTGCTGACTTCAGTGGGAGCAGGATCAAGACCTTAATCCTATAAGGTTCTGATACTGCATTCCTTCAGCATCCAAAATTCCCACAGAAGTCAGAAAGCTGAGGCCCAAAATACAAAGGTGTGGACAACAATGATAATATTCAGGACCAATGGCCCTGATTCAGCAAGGTTGAGCATGGGTGCCTACCTTTAAGCTGCTGGGTTTGCCTATTGACTTCAGTGGGTGGTTAGTTAGGCACATACTTAGATACCTTACTCAGTCAAAGTCCATATTTGCCATCATTTGTTTTGTTTGTTTTAAAACAGCACTTTATTTTCATTGGGAAGTTCAACATAAAAGGAGATGGCACAATATGACCCTCAGACTTTCAGCTACCAGCAAACTGCAATAATTAGCTACAAAGTCTTTTGCTACAACATGGTGGATAAAAAAAATCTAAAACTGCTACTAAACACACTAACACCTACCCATAGGTGTTTTTCCTTATTCCAAATGAATGATGTTAGAACATAATTACACTAATAATCTGCAAGTATTTTTAGATGAAAACTGCAATCAAAACTACAGTTAGACTAGATCAGTGGTTCTCTAACTTTTGTACTGGTGACCCCTTTCACACAGCAAGCCTCTGTGTGCGACCCCCCCCCCGCCCCATTATAAATTAAAAACACTTCTTAATATATTTAATACCATTATAAATGCTGGAAGCAAAGCAGGGTTTGGGGTGGAGGCTGACAGCTCGTGACC